TTCACGAACTGGTTTCATCGTCAGCTTAAGGGACGCTTCATTAAAATCCAGCGTTGCTTGTGCCTCTGAAAGAAAATCTATTCCTAAGTATTAAGGTGCTTGCAGATTCTTTACTATGAAAAACATAACCTTTACTTGTTCGTCCTTGATACGGATGTACAAAGGTAATTTACCTATGCACTTACATCTGTTCTCCTTGCGCCGCTAACACTGTCGTATTATCCGAATTATATATGCGATATTTACGAAAATACTTCCTAAAAAAATCTTCTGCCACACAGGAACACTGCGCGCCTGTATCCAGGAGTGCGGTGGCTGGGATATTATTTACCAACACTTCAATCTTCGGAAGAGTCAAATTTTTCACCATTACTGTATTTAACTTGTAAGGAAGAGGGGTTTTCGTGGCCTTCGGATTTCCGCACCCTCCCGTCAGCAGAAATCCGTTTTAGTTTAAATTATTTTTCATTTCCGGTGCTTTCCTTCTTTTTCCACTGGCCTTGAGACTTTTTTCCTGGATTGCTATTGAACTGTCGACGTTCGCCGGCTGTTTTTGAATGCTCGGGTTTCCTTGCCCACTGATTCGCTTTGCTTTCCGTAGCCGTGTGCTTGAGTTTGCTGTAGTCTTGGCGCACCAAATTGGTTTCGCTTTTGATATTGGCGTCTTCTTTCAATGTCCGCCGTTCTTCTACTTTCAAACTGGATTGCTAGCTCAAATAACTTTTCCAGTGTAGTCGGATTTCTTAATTCAATAAAGTCTTGCACTTGGGGGCAGTAACCTCGGCAAAATCACTTGAATTATCTCAGGATCCGGACGGTTTCCATACAAGAGTTTGAAAACGTGAATTTTTCTTAAATAAAAACGCTTGAGAGAGTTTTCGATTTTGCTGATATATGCTGAAAAGTTCCGTTTCTAATTTCGCACGATCCCTTACAACAGGGAAGGCTTTTAGTAGGGCAGTCTTGAAATTTTCGTAAGTATAGGTGGGACTTCCTGCTTGACCCAAGAGACTTCTGCCTATACATTTGAACCAATTAAGCGCTTGGCCCCTCAAAGCGCTGGTAGCTAAGGTAACTTTTTGAAATCGTGCACGGGGTAGGTAGAGCATGAAGTGGTCATCCAATTTTTCCAAAAAACTGGTTACCGTGAGTTTTCCATTAAATGTTGCTTCTGGTTTCATCGAAGCGCGCATGGTCTGGACGATGTAACCAAATCCTTCCAGGGCGGCAGCTGGCATTTCTGGATTCTGAGCCGCTTCTGCAGGCAGCACAGGTTCTTCTTGAAACTCGGCCATGGTTATTCTTCGTTCGGGCGCCACTATCAGGTTCAATGTTTCTTCTAACTTTCTTCGGAAACATACAATGGACCTGACTAGGAACAGAGAGCTTACTAAAGCTATGTTCAATAATTGTAGGGAAGTAGACAGGATACACACGAAGGGTATACAAAACCCTTTATTTTTTTCTCTTATATACAATGAACTTTCCGTACTTCGGAATACAATGACCCTCCACTCGGGGTCTAACTTAAAAGATATCAAAATAAACTAAACTCTAATTTAACTTTAGAATGGAAGATTGGCCTTATAATAACAGGAAGCCGTATGTAGCACAGAGACTGTGAACACTACAATACGTTTAATTATCAAGAGGATTAAAACCTCTGGCCTGGAAGGCAAAGTAGCAACTGAGTAACTTCTAAGGTAAGCGGCCTGCTTCGAACTCACGGCTTCCTCTCTTCGCTTGGCAAAAAGGCCACAACTTAAACTTGGCGTTCGCCAGACAACTTTGCATAAACTCCTTCACGCTTATAATTCTGGCCGGAAGTAGAAAATAAGAAGTGATAGTAAAGATTTAAAATAAAATAAACGTTAGTAAAACTTAAGATCCTTACAATGTATGTCTATTATATTAAGATACAGCAAGATGTTTTGGAGCTTTTCTTTCCCCAGAAATTTAATAGCATGGCATTCAGTCATTTTACAACATAATTTCAACAAGACAGTGCAATGGCTCATAAAGTATAAACATATAAACAGTGGTGTGTGGAAATGTTCCTTGGTCATGTCTGCACCAGTGGTGATACTTCATGGCCTACAAGCTCTCTACATCTCCCAATGTGTGATTACTTCTGATAAGTATATCTCAGAGCTAAATATTTTCCCAAAAACCAAACAACACAGAAGAATTGGAAGATCTCATGGCAAATAACTGTAGCTGTGCCACTAGATATAGTGCAATATGCATTTGGCAACTTTAACATGAAATTGGAAAAACGTGTACAGATTAGAGGTTATCATCACTTATACGGTGTGTTTTTAAAAACACAAAGAGTACTTCCATTTTACAGCATCCTTGATAACAAAAAGAATTGGCATGTTCTCACCTTGTTGACAAAAGAGACTTTACTGATACATGACTTATGTGTTATCAGGTAGTAAAAATTTTCTCTTTTAAAACATAACAATTTTTCATTGTTAAATATTAGAGATATCGTTGTTAAATACTTAGAATGCACATTTCTGACTATTTCACTGACATTCAGTTTTACAAAGTCAAGGAGAGAAACAAATGATTACCAGTTTGCTATGGTAACCATTCGTTGAGGTTTCTCCAGGGCAGTCCCAGATTCTAGTGCTGCGTCCTACACGGATACGCCTCCTGAAACTCACGATTTATTTAAAGATCCATAAAAAATAATTTAGTTTCTATAGTATTTCTATATATGGAATGTATTAGTTTTGCATGGATTGCATGAGAGGCATTGGAGCATATAATAATATGCCATATGAAGCATTTTTATGCATGGGAAGTAACATATCAACAATGGCATAGCCAATATGTCAACATACCCTTGATGTGACTTTTTCCTTTCCATATTTTTCAATTGATAAAAGTCCGATAGCTTAAAAAATTTTATTTTTATGAACAAGCCAAACTGGCTTCAATTCCTTCAAGCACGAGCATCAGTGTTGATAATTCAATAAAACGAATGGATGGATATAAAAGAACATCTATCAAGATTTTAGAAGACATCAATGATCTTATTTTTTACTTTAAAAGAAAAATCTGATTCTACATTTCTACTGCCTAGTTTAAACATTATTTTAAACATGATTGAAAATGAAATATGGACCAAAAATGGTTTATTAACTCCTTCGCATCGAAGTCGCCCGTAACGCTCATTCATTCAGGCAACGGCAAACCGCTCCAACGCCTCCTTTATTTTCCACCTAGTGCTTTCCCCTCCATGTTAGTGTATGGCTCATTGGTTTTGCGAGTTGTTAAGAGACATGTCAATCATTCTTTTGAAGCAACTAAAGGAGACATACGGAAAGCTATTAACGTTCACGGGTGCAATCCGGCTCTAAGGTGAAACTGCACACAATGGATGAAACCGCTGAAAAACCCCCAAGAGAGAAACAGTCATTTCACTTAAGTAGGTTATTGTTAATGTTGTAGCTATCTACCAGGCAGGGGGAAAGGAAAACTATCCCAAGACAAATTCGTAAACACGGGCGTTTTCGATGTTTGATGAAAACAGATTTGGTCGTCTCTCGATGTGAAAGAATTAAACAAAGTAAAAAATTTTATATGAATATTGCTTTTTCTCTAGAATTACAGGGCAAATGATTTAAAGAAATTACTCATTTTAAGTGAATTCAATTTAAAATGTCAAACGGATTAGACTAAAGTAGAAGAAACAGTTTTCATACATTCATTTTTGCCTGAAAACGAATATATGGCACTGGAAAATGAATTATTCAATGAAATATTACATTTGAAAAGTTACATAAATTTTTGAAAACATCAGCATTGGAATAATGAAGAAACACCCACCAATAAGCGTTAGATTCAAAATTTAAACTATTTCAATGAAAATCATATTTCTTCTGTGCATCTCTCGAAAGCTATAAAATTCATGCTTTGTTTACCTGGTGCCACTGCAGCTACTTGAAGGGTGTTTTCTTTCCTAATTCCTGGACAGCAGTAAAATCAGTAAGCATGGACAGCAGTAAAGTTAAACATTAATACCATGAAGGTGATGGTTATAATTAAGTGCAATTTCGAGTTTAGTGCTTACAAAGAGTTAAAAGAACAAATTGAAAATTGCAGTGAACTATTTAAAAAGGTTCACTGCATTTCAAAATATAACTCTGTACATATTATTTATATTTTAAACAGCTTTTTTTTTTTTTTTTTAACAATAGTCACCTTACAATTTATGCATGTGCACATTGTTTCCATTTATTCAGCTAATGAAAAGTTTGTCTTTTAAAATAAGCAATTTTTCATTGTTAATTCCTTAATATGCTTTCTATTTTCAATCTGCTCTCAATGGAAAAAGATGCTATAGCCAGAAAGTAGGATGTTTATGGGAATTAATAAATTGAGGAAATAGAAAACTCGGGAGTAAATATCACCATTACCTGGAGTCAAATTTAGCAGAATTCATATACAGGCATCATAACAGCCATGATAATATATTTAACACATTATTAGCATCAATGGCTGAACAGTAGTAACCAAAAAGTGTTTGTTAAAAGTTAATTATGGTTTGTTTATATATGCTGTTTATTTTAAATACATTTATTTAATATTTGCATGTGTTTATATATGTTTATTTTAAATAACTTGCTCACAAAACTGTATTATTACATTGCTTTTATATGTAACTGTTAAATATGCTGTGGCATGTAGCTAATGAATAAATTGATGATATGCTTTGGTCACTGTTTAGACAGTTTTGTTTTCATGGATTTATAACACCTGACAACAAATCAAACTTTTTAAACCCCAAATTTCATCAATGAATTGCAGCACCATTTTCTTTCATCAAAGCCATTGTGAAAAGGAAACCACGTTACAAGAAATATATGCATCCATATGTACAACAAAATGCCATACTATGAATTCATACCTTATCTTCCATTATTATTTATTAAATAGCGAGATACTTCTGTCTCTCCCCATATAAGATTACTTAGAAAATTACTTACCGCTTATAGAATTTCCACAAATCAGCACCCTGAATAACACAGCTTTGTTTTTTATTTTCCATCAAATTATATCTACAAGATAAATTATTGTCAAATTTTAAAAGCACATAAATTTACTTAGTTTTATAATAGGAAGTTTTATAATATACATTAGTCTTTAGATATGAAAAACTTATATATAGTATGCTTATAAAGATAACACGTTAAATAAGAGCATACTATATATTCTGTACAGTATATGAAATACCACAGAATAATGCTTTGAACCAGACTAGTTATCCTGGATCATACAAGCTAATCTAGAATTTTTGTATAGTATCCTTTCAGGATGTATCATGAAAAATGACCTCGGTTAAGAAAATATCTTCACATTTTGTAAGTAGTTAACATCAGTTTTGCCATTTCTGCTCTATGTTACCATAAAGATACAGTCAAAAGTGGTTAAATCGGACACCCATAATCCGGAATGATCTATAATCCGGACCTCAAAGCTTCCAACTTTCTGCGCATGCGTCGCGTATGACCTTTATGGCTGCGAATATGCTTGCGCACGTGCGCAAAATACGTTTACGAGTGCGCGTTTAATGTATAACGGACGGTATAAGCTAAGCTAAAATTATCTAATTATCTATTACAGTTAATGTTGCAGATTGCGTTGTTCCTTAATCTTCGAATTAGATCCGGCTTATTATTTTTTGCAGACTGTTAGAGCAATCTTATAAAAGTAAGCTTGAACTTTCGATTATGACAAATAGAATTTCTGATATATATTTATTAATATACAAACTTGAGACTTGCAATTCTCTTCCATTTACATATTTATTAATATGTAAAGGATCTGTAAAGCAAAAGTATGTTTCGAAGCTCATTAAACAAAAAGTGGAATTGCTACAAAAAATGAATAAAGGCATATCCTTTGTTTATCTAAACTTGAACGTTTATCTAAACTTTGTTTATCTTTAACGCCGCGGCGTGCATTGAATTGGAAGTTGATCTGTCAGCACTAACCTTATCGTCAGGGCAGATGTTTTTATTTTATTTGGCTTATGATTCCTTACTAAATGTAGTATTTCATCTTGATGTACACCGTCTTTGGTATGATTTAAATCAAATTCCTCGTCATTATAATTTGCTTCCGATAGCGAAGAAAATGACAGAGGTTATTGAAAACGAAAAAATTTCGATTGACAAATTAGTCGGTAGACACAGCAATTATAGGACTTGAACAGCAGAACTTTGTAACTGAACAAGAAATTATGTCTGTTTATAGAATTAAAGAGAATGTATTATCACATAAAAAATGAAGCAGCTTAAACAACTTACATTGAAAGAAATGTTTAATAAAGTAAACAAATAAATATTAAGCTTTTTTTTTGTAAATTTTGATACCCTTTAGATCATAATTTTCTTTATTTCATAAATTACGGTTTCATATTTTTAATTTTATAATTTCTGCATGCCATCTTACCAGATTTAAACTAATGATCTATAATCTGGAAAAATCGATAATCCGGAATCGCCGAAGTCCCGGCAAGTCCGGATTAACGACTTTTGACTGTATCAGGTATCATCCAAAAAGTTTGTGTTGCTAGAGTGTATAGTCAAATTCATTATATTCAATTCTGTGAATGTTACCTGGAAAAATGTGCAGAAGATGCAGGATTTGCACACAAAATTGTGTGGAGCGATGAGGCAGTCTTTAAATTAAATGGTTCCATTAATGGCCATAATTGCACGTATTGGGGTCCTGTAAATCCTCATGTAACACTTAAAACAGTATGTAAAACTTATGAGGAGTAACAGTGTGGTATAGGATATCCACAATGGGCATCACAGGACCATTTTTTTTAATGGAGCTGTCACTGGTAAGAGTTATCTCAACTTGCTTCAGAAGTTTTTGGTCCATAAATTTCAGAGATGTTTGGTGATAATGACGAGATTTACTTTCAGCAAGATGGAGCATCTCCTTACTACCATTGTGATGTACGAGCTCACCTCGATGCAGCTTTTCCAGACACATGGATTGGACGAAGGGGTACCATTGAATAACCTGCGCATTCCACAGAACTCATGCCCATGGACTTCTTTTTGTTGGAATATCTTAAAGACAATGTTTATCGCACCAAAAAAGACCAACTGATGCATTGAAGGGGAATATCGCAATATTTCTGACCTGTTTGATGACCTGTTTTGTGACATTTGCGAATCCCTTGGCGTGTGTTATCAGCATTGTCTGGAGAATGATGGTCATCTATTTGAATATTCACGAACGTGATTCCTCAACTGTATTCGAAGCTATTCCATTTCACTCTATGTTCCGAAATAAAGTTTTTCTCGTCATTCGAAGTGCGAGCACATTTTTTGAGACACCACCTTTTATTAAGACACAATAACACGCCGAACCAATACTAATTCAGAAGTCCAACAACAAAAATCAGCATTATATTTTCAAAATTTTCACAGGACTAGTTTCGATGGTTTTACTGAACCACCATCCTAAGCTGCAAAACCGCAAATGAACAAGATAGGAAATAATTATTAGATAAGATAAGAAAGACTGGACAAGAATAAGCAAGTGGCGCCATCTGTTGGTGAAAGCAGAACTAAAACATAATTTCTTTAAAGGCCAATGGCAAAGATGGATTGGAATTAGGATCGTTAACTAGAACAGAAAGATTTTTTTGAATGTGAAATGCCTCTAGAAAATCCAGTTCTCCAATGGAAGATTTTTTTGAATAATTTTGGCAGCAGAAAAATTGAAAGTGTGATTTTCGGACTAACAATGTCGAGCAACCGAAGACTTCTGTTTTTCCTTTTTTCTAACATATACTTTACGTTCCTTGACGCGAAATTTTAAGGCTCTCTTAGTTTGGCCAATGTAAATTAAATCACACTGGCAAGGAATCCTATAAATACTCCAGGAATTCATATCCGGAATGGAGGGTCCTTGAGTATGGATCTTGGAATTTTATTGATGGGAGAATAAATGACCCGAAAGTTAAATTTCTGCAAAATATGTGCAACTTTATAGCTAACTGATGGAAAGAAGGGAATGACAACAGAATTTTTATAATCTCCTAAAACAAAAGTGTGCTTTTTAGTGTGTTGAGATGAGAATTTTTTAACTGCTTGATTAATAATGTTGGGTGAAAAGCCCCTGTCAATAGCTATTGCTTTTAAATAATTTAGTTCTTCATCAAGGGATAGTTTGGAGGAGCAAACTTAAAGAGCACGGAAAACATAGGAATAAAATGAAACTAACTTAGTCGGATGACATGATTTAAAGTGCGGTGGAAAGCAAACTGATGATGGTTTACAGTAAACCGTAGTACTGAAGTTGGACGTGTTACGTGTGATCAGAATGTCGAGAAACGGAAGAGAATTGCAAGTCTCAAGTTCAAAAGTGAACTGAATAGCAGGATCAATAGAATTCATTGTTGAAAGAACTTTATTTAAGTCATCTTTATTACCTTCAAAGAGGGTAAAAGTTTCATCTACGTAGCGGAACCATACCGGGAAGTTTAAAGTTTCAAACAATTTTGATTCATAATAATGCATGTAGATATCAGCCAGGATGGGACTGAGGGGGCTTCCCATGGCTAATCCCTCAGTTTGCTTGTAATATTTATTTTGGAAAACAAAATGTGTTCGTTTGAAACAAACACATTTTGTTCGTTGAGAAATTCGTTGGGAACTATCAGAAAGCCTACACTGTAGGTGAACATGTAACAATTGATGAAAAATTAAAACAATTCAAAAGACGATGTGCGTTTAGGCAATACATCCCTTAAAAAAAAAAATAATAATAATAATGGCCTAAAATTATTTGCATTGGTTGATTCCAGAGTATTTTATACATTCAAAATGGAAATATATGCTGCCCAACAACCAAATGGGCCACTTCAGTTTGATAACAATGCAAGCGCTACTGTAAAGCGTTTGATGGAACCATTGTACAAGACTGGATGGATTTTGACTGCAGAAACTGGCATGTGGGATACCAGCTATCTCAGAACCTACTAAGGAAGAAAATAACAATAATGGGATTTTTATTAACGATTATATAAAAAAAATTATTTGGTCAATTCTGCATAACACTGAAGAAACCCTACCATCTACAGTTCAAATATTCATCCATGATTAGAGTTTTTATGTAAAAGCAAAGAAATATACCAATGCATTAGTGTGAATATTTAGCATCTTTTTTAATACCTGGCAAAACCATTTTTATAAGAAAAACAAAAGCTGTTTTGGAATAAAGTTCCTTTTAAGATTTATTATCAGCAAATATTTAATTCATATCTCCAGTTTATTTACTTCTACAGAGTCACAAAACATTTCAGGTAAAAAGGATCTGTAAGAGGAGAAGTTTGAGAAGTATTGCTCTACACTTAGTAATATTTTAATTTAATAAGATGTAACCTCCCGATGGGATACTTATGAAATAAATTTTAAAAGTCTGAAAGACTCAAAAATTTATTACACAGTATTAAACTTTTCAAACTATGAAATCTTGATGCAATCAGGAAATTTAATTTCAATGCTTTACTTTTCAAACTCATTAGGATGAATCAACTCATTAGGATGAATATTTGGCTTCTTTTTTAATGCTCAGTAAAATTATATTTATATGAAAACCAAGCAACTGCTTTGGAATAAATTTTATTTGTGATTTATTATTAACAAATGTTTTAATTCATATTCATATTCCTACATTCATATATTATACACCCCTATACCTAAAGTTGCGAAACTTTTCGCTCAAGTAAAAAGAGTCCGAACGATGAGAAGTTGGAGAAGTCTTATCTATGCCAAAGAAATATATTTGGATTAAATAATGATTTAATTTCTCAACAGGAAATAACTTTAAAACTCTGAAAAATTTATTACATAATATAAATTAACTTCCTAAAAATATAAAATCTTCAGGTAGCCAGAAAATTTAATTTCAATGCTTCCATGAATATTTCTAAAACATATTTACACACAATTGCTTAATGTCAAATATTATGTGATGTCATGATTACTTTCATGCTAATAATTTATATAATTTATTTTTAGAAAGTCCTCTATAAAGGCATTATTCTCTTAAGAATAAGATAGCCCTTATGCGATTTACCATATTCAAATCACCCAACCTACAAAAAATTGAATAAATTCAAAATTTTATTCATACAGCAATGATAAATAAATATTTTTATAAATTTATAAGTAATATGATTCACCAAATAAAACTGCCCATTAATTACATATTATTTTTTTTTAATCCATTGCATGCAATTAAACACATTTTCTTATTTTTTTCCCTTTTAATGTCATCTTCCAAATCAAACTTAATGTAATGACAATAGTGGTCACCATTCATACTAAGTATATATATCACAACGAACAAGCAAGCAAAATCCCATCAAAAGCACTCTACATATACAATAATATATTTATCAACTGTAAAGCCATTATCAAATTACATGTTGACGGCATATATGGGTAGCAAAAATACTGCTACCAGCTTTCGGTATTTGCACCTATTATCACGCAAAGAGAATCAGCGACCGATAAATACATAAACTGATATGTAGATAGCATATTTATATACAAGGCTAGCATAAATGATTCATTCGTTTTCAAAAGGTTATACTTTTAAAAGTATTTCACGTACACACATAAAATATATATGAAAAGAACCACGACCTCATTAAGTTCATATACCCTCTACAAATATTCAATATGTGCCCATTTGGTGACAAGACAATCGAGCTCATTCTATATATTTCGTAGCATTGTTGTCCACATGTTCGTCTTGTCAATTGACAAGATGTTTGGAATACTACAAAAAATTGTGTGGACGATTTTGCGTCAACGGTTGCATTTCAAACCATACCATGTGTAGCTCCGGCAACAATTAAAGCCGGAGGATAACACCCGTCGACTAGATTTTTTTTTGTCAACATGAAGGAAGCACTGGAGAACGAAGATTTCGTCACCACGTATACATTCAGCGATGAAGGAACGTTCTACTTATCCGGGAATCTTTGTAAAATAGTGAAAAAAGCTTGGTGAGTTTGTGGTTCAATATATTTTTCTTGTGTGTACTTTTGTAAATATACTTTTAAAAATACAGTAATACTTTTGAATATATAGTAATACTTTTGTAAATATACTTTTGAAAATATAGCCTTTTCAAAATGAATAACTCATTTATGCTAACCCTGTATATTAAATTCGGATGATGTACTAATACATAATAAATCACAAAAATTAAGCTTTACTTTTAAATCTATATTGAAAGTTATAACACAAATTAAATTTTGTTTTCAGATAATTTCAAAACAAGCGGGTAGAGTTGCCATTATTAGCATACAAAACTTGATGTTTATTTTGTGTTTCAGCCGCCCAGACGGTGGTTAGCGGCAAGGAGGTTAGGTTAGCGGAGAATAATCGGGGAATCTAAAAGAACCTATTTTTGTATTTTTACATGTACACATCTAATTTTAATCTACCTAGCGTAATATTCACAATATTTAATGTATAAATCAGTATAGTAGTATTGCAACGAAAAAAAGGTGTAAAATATCATTAATAATTATTATAAATTTCAAACTATTGCTAATGAAATCCTTGCTCATATATTCACATTTAAATTTGGAAAAATACGAGATCGGAAGCAATAAAACACAAGAAATATATACCATGAGCCAAATGAGCGATAAAGATGTGAGCATGCTCCTACCCCTAGGCTTTCTGCTATGGTAGCAGATTCCTAATTCGTATTATAGAGGTTAAATATTGTGTAATTTGTAATGGCAGCTTTTATACGAAGTATTATTAATTTTTTAATTTTTTTAAAGTTAATACTGTAACTCTACTTACATGAACATAATTAAAATATGTATCCAATCATTAAATTTTATGAGGGAAAAAAAGCTAGTTACATCTTTTTCACATGATAACAAGATGCTCATGTATGAAATGAACGAAATTACGATTAACTGATTTTTTTAATAAAAGAGCAATTTCTTAAAATTTCTGCTCGAAGTAATATTTCATTTGCTCTCGGAATTAATTTTATGGCATTAAAATATTGTAATTTGGTCACACAGACTTTACTCATAGTGTTGTAATTTGTGTATAGCCTTCTTTATTAAATGGTTCAATTGAAATTTAGAAATAAGCTGTTTTATTAGATTTTAATGTATATGTCTCCCTCTTTTTTTTAATTAGAAATGAAAATTGCTCTTATACAATTAGCCGTCTCTTCAAATAAAGAGCAGAATATAGAGCGAGCATGTAAATTTATCAAAGAATCTGCACAAAATGGAGCTAATCTGGTGTGTTTGCCTGTAAGTATTAGATAGAAGATTTCCTTATATGAAGAATGTTAGCATAAAACTATTTTTACTTCATGTTTGTAAAATGAGGTTTAAATAAATTGGTGGATACCAAAATAAGGGAGATATAAATTAAATGCAAAAAATTGATTATCTTTGCCAGAGCTGTATTAACCCATTAAGTTATACACTGAAGTGCCACTGAATTAGGGATAGCTATTCAATAACGAGTATTAAATGACGAAGCATAGATTCAATAAGTTTCTGGAAGCATTCTACAGGAATGGCTTACCAAACATCGGATAGAGCTGTCTATAATTTAGGAACAGTCACTAGTGCTGTGTGATGAGGTTTCAAACCTCTTTCCAGAACGTCCGAAAGATGCTCAGTAGAATTTAAGTAGCCAATTTATGACAGAGAAATTAGAAAGAACGCTCATACAACCGGGACTTGTGTGAGGTGCAGTTATCTTGCTGAGATACATCATTTCCGTGTGAATGACAAGAAAACATAAATGGATGGAGATGATTGCCCAGCAACTCTACGTACTGAATCATAGTGAGGAAGGTTGGTGCAAGTACCAAAGATCCCAAACACTGCCAAGAGAAAACATCCCAGACCACGATTAAGCCACCATGGTCTTGTGCAGTTCCAATCTGCCATAAAAGGTTTATGGCTTCATGAGTCTGATCATATTCTCAGCCTCTCATCAGTATTAAATAGTCGGAATCATCATTCCTTGCTACTCATTTCAAGTTCACTAGAGTCTCCCCAGGCAAGAAGTGCGGTTCGATGGCATGCATTCAGCAAAGGTACTCCCATGGGTCTACAGCTTCCGAAGCTTATATGGTGAAGTGAGCGTTGCACGATCCTTTTACTGACTGTACAACTGTCGTCCTGATTCAGCTGGGTAATAATTTTGAGCTAATGTTTGGCTTCATTGATTGTGTACGATACAGCTCTGCTGACTTATTATAGGTTAATTATCCTCTGCAATTCGCCTGATCACTATTTCTTTTTCCCACCATCCTTGTATTCTCGGTATACTCTTGACACTGTTGACCTTGAAAATCCTACCCCACTGAGGATTTTGGAAACTGAATAGCCATGCATTGAGTGCCTACTATTTGTCGGAGATTGAAGCTGTCTAAATCAGAAGTTTTACCCATACTGGTAATTGAAACGACTGATTAACAACAACCATAGTACTAGCTGTATGTGCATTTACCACAACTTCCTTACGTAAGCATAGATGCCACGCAGCGCTATAAAATTTCCATAGCCATGTCTATCCCTAATTCAGTGGCATTTCAGTGTATAAACACGTTCTTAGGATTAGAAAAGGAAAGGGTGCACCGCAAAGCGGTCCTTATGTATTCAGGAAAGGGGGCACCAAGAAACTTCCCTTTGCCAGTTTTATGTGGACTGCAAAGAATAGATACAAATCAAGAGAGAAGAGATGAATAAGCTAGTGTAAATAGATGTGGTTACACCAAAATAGTTTGAGTACTTACGGCCTTTGAAAGTCTTAATCGCCGACCTTAGCTTCAGTGCAGAGATTCGCACTATTGTGCTATTTATCTGTCGCTTATTTTTATCCAGCCGAGGAAAGTTTCAAATACTTGAAAGTAAATAACAGAGATATAATTTAAATAAAATAATGACTTCTTGCATGCAACCAAATAAAAGCAAAATTTACTAAGAAATAAAATAACATTTATTATCTAGATTTGTGTAGTTACTTATCTCTTTGTATTTATAATCTTCCATTCTTTAGGCTAATACTTAGATCACTGAAGACTATAAGAAAACAAAATATTTTAAATATATATTAAATGACAGAAAATTTCATGACTGGATAAAAACAGTTATGCCAATCAGAGGATTAAGGTAACAATGGTAATAGAGAATAAATGTTTATGGTCGGTTGAAAAAAATTTTATTAGTATTTCTTTTTTTAGAAATTTTTAAAAACACCGGGTATCTTTTATGTACTTAAGATTCATCAGTTTCCAATACTTCCAGATAGTTCCCCCCCTCCCTTCTCTAGAGGTAGTTGTCCTAGATAAAATGATTATTAGTATGCATAATGACTTTCTTCGTAAAGAAAAGTACAAAAATAGAAGCTGTAGTACATTATTAATACTATAATGTTAAGAAAAATACAAATTAATCACAAAGTTGTTAGTAAATAATGTAGTAATAAAATAAAACTCGTAAAAAAATTCATATTAAGTTTCTGAAGCAGCTATAGCTATTTTAAAATAGCGTAAACATTGTGCACATAAAATCCTCATGTGAAAATGCTACATTAAATAAAAAAATATTTTAGTAATTTTAAAAATATTTATGAAATGTTTAAAATATAACTATGATATGAAATCTGTCTCATCGGGTTTGTTTTTTAGCCAATCACATCCTATTCTAAAGTAGTTTGGACTTTATGAAATAAACCAGACTTCTTACTTAATTGGAAGAGAAACACACCATTGTGAAAATTTAAAATTACATAAAAAAGCAACATTATATTGACACAAGTTTTAAATAAAACTACATTGATTTTGAGGATGCACCCCTCCATCAGGAGCAAAAACTTAAGAGGGGGTAATTCTTATGATTTTTTAGATTTTAATACTAATTGTTTTAACTTAATTTAAAGCACTATTTAAGTACTTTCCCATCAACCATTTTTGGTAAACCAACTGTCATTAAACAGTTTGATTTATTCTCAGTAATAGATAAGTGTGGCATTGCAAGAGACTCAAAAAATCATCAACCTGGTTTTATTTAATCTAGTTTAGATTTTGTAAAGGAGGGTATTATAAGATACTTCTATTTTCCTGCTTTTCTACTCCTCCTTTGAAAACTACCTAAAATTTGAGACTTCTCATGTAGGGTAAAGCATATTCAAAGTTACAGGATCTTAGTATCAAAAGAAAGTGCAAGTTAAAAGGCATAATATGGGACTTTATTTGGAAATGGATGTGAAGTTTTTTTTTTTTTGGGGGGGGGGTCGGATAATCTTAAAATTTGAGCTGATATTTGTTTTAAATATTATTATGATATATCTGCAATTTGTATCTAGTACTAATTGATTAAATAAAGAACGATCTATTCCTTCTGATTTTCACCAGAATGGTTAGTGCAAATTGCCTGTTTTTTTTGTTATTGAGGAAAAAGGATGTTAATAAAATTAAAGCTTTATTTAGGAGATAAACACATATTTTTAACTTTCCAGTAGAATTATTTACACTGATTAAGAATTAGAAGCATTGAATGCATTTTTAGAGTTTTCCAATCGTTTTCAACTTGAAGCTTTTTGTCATCTATATACAATGTGACTTTTTTTTCTGTTGTTTTGAATTATTTCTGTAATATTTTCATCTTCAGCCAACTTAAGTTGTCACAAGTGACTCTTCTTGAAATGCATCTTTATCATATTCTCTTTTACATTGTTTCTTTTTTTCCATACATCACCTATATCTGCTGAAGAAATTTTCTGATCAGTTCCTTTAAATTAAGTGCTATTAGAAAATTATTAATGCTGACATTAGTTTAAATTAGCTTATTATTCGTAGAGCCAAAGATTGTAAATGACTACTTTTATCAGTCGGTGAAATAATATACTCATGTGACTTAATTCAGAAGTCAACAAAAATCAGCGTTATATTTTCAAATTTTTCACAGGACTCGTTTCGATGGTTTAACTGAACCATCATCCTCAGCGGCAAAAATGCAAATGAACGAGATAAGGTATAATGATTAGATAAGATAAGAATGCCTGGACAGGATACAAGCCACTTGCGCCATCTGTTCATTCAGTGTTTTCAATTCATTTCATTTTTCTGCTGCTTTGTGCATGCTTTATTTTGGTTGGTTAATTTGGTTTGATTTTCTGCATTGTTTATCATGCCTTCATCCGTTAATCGTTTCAATAAATTACGCCTGAAACGACAAAAATTCCTGAATCATCTTGACTTTTTACTTAAGTGTAAATGTAAAAAATTGATCCCCAATTTCATTCAAATCAAATTTAATCAAAAACCTTCCATTGGTGTTTCATGAATTCTGTTAAACTGCAAGCTTGCCTTACTCCGATCCATCATAAGGGATACACATCAACAGTTATCCAAAATTGATTATGAGCTCTATAAGCTTCATCTGGAACTCGCTAATTCATATCCAAAATTCACTGCCCCTTGAACAAAAGTCTTGGTCTAAAACAGAGAATACAGTTAACCATCATAAAAACACCCTTGCAGTTAAATTCGGAAAACTTCTTTCACAGTCTTCCACTTCAAGTAGTTCAAAAAATCTTCCCAATGTAAACATTAAGCCAATAGTTAATATTTCTAATGTTAATTTATCAGAAGAACGAGAGAATTCTAAAATATAGCTTCTCACAAACCTCTAAACCCGCAATTCCAAAGATTTTGGCTCCTATTGAAAAAGCTTTCAAGTTGAGTAAAGTTTCAGATTCACAGAAAGAAATGATTAGGCATCTTATCGCTCATAATGTGAAAGTCAATAATAAACCTTTAAAACCAAATCTAACCGCGAGAGAAAGAGCTACAATGCGTGAAATTCATTCTAACCCGGATATTATCATTTCAAAGGTTGACAAAGGTGGCCAAATAGTCGTCATGGATAAAAATACTTACATCAATGGTGTCACTAAACTCTTAAACAAAGGACCATATAATCTGATCCCTAAAGATCCTTCACCTTCGGACCTGTCAAAAATAAAAACTGCAACCAATCTTCAAAAATCCTTTCAAGAAACTTAAAACATTCGCTTATCTGTTGCAAATTGTGCCAGATTATATGCTCTTCCCAAAATTCATATAAGTGGTATTCCTTTCCGCCCTATTGTATCAAATTTAGGTACTGCCTCATATCCGTTAGCTAAATATTTAGTTTCTAGATTTTCAACTCTATTAGACACAAACGTTCACATTTACACCATAAAAATTTGATAGAGTTTGTAAAAAGGATAAAAACATTTCTCCTAGAAATTTACTCATGGTTTCTTTTGATGTAAAATCATTATTCACCAATGTTCCAGTGGAGGGTGCATTAAGATATCTAGAAACCAGACTTTGCGAATTTCATTTCTC